ATAACACGGTTTTACTGAAAACGGTGATGGTATACTAATACTTGCTACCGGCAAGGCTATTAGCAGTTGTTCTGTGAGAATGATTCATATTTATAAAGATTCTGTATTGTCAATTGTGAAAACCTGGACGCTTAAAGGAATATTAATGTTTCCGTGAAGTAAAGCAATGGTAAAAGGTATTTCAATTCGTCAAAAATTCTACTGCTTTGTGACTATCAAACATGTTTGGCCAAGTTGGTAGCTTAGAGCATACTACGTATAGAATAGAGACTATATAGGACGTCACTACGTGGAGGCCCCAATCCCAGCTATGGGAATCGTTCAATGGCTAGAAACCCTATCGAACCTGCTGAACGGAGCAGGTTCTGACTTTTTTGACTACATTACTATTTGACTACAGGTCCTTTACATACAAGTATGAAATTTACTTGATGGAAGGTAATGCCCCCGCCCTAAGACTTCTATTATGATGTGGTGTCGACCGCATTTCCGTTGGGGCATATATTCGTTTCAGGGATCGATTTTATTTATAGGCAATTAGTTGAACTGATTTCCGTTCCCGGTCCGATTGAAATAAATAATCGTTTCCCCGGTATTAAAACATTGTAGCTTCAAGGAATGCAACTGGTTTAACCATTGCGCTATGGAGGTGTTCAAGCGGTGTACAGTACATTCAATTTGATAGTAGTAAGATTACGATTATGAGTTCATTGACCTCTCCTATTTCCACGTTAATTAAATCTAAAGAAATTTAATTTATTTCGCGATAAATAGAATTGACGCTGTATTCATTATGAGTAAGAGTGGCTGTAGCATTAAAGTCGAAATCCAGGTCACCTTTTCAATGACATCTAATTCAGTTAAACCAAAATAAATGTTTTCAAAAGAACTAGCTAGTTTTAGGGCCGTTTTTTCCACAGTCCAAGCGCTCAATCCTAAAATATTCATATATTTTTCACGTAACTCCTCGTCAAGGGCTTATTTACTTCAATATTGTCTATAGTTTACGCGAGTAGTACACTTTTAAATAAAACACTTTAACGGTTTAAAACGCGACATATTAGTTAAACTTATTTGAAGACGATTTTTAACTTCGGCCCGACATTTCAGATGCTTTGCAGCAGTCGTGGTCACGGGGAGTAATACTTGTACTAAATTAAATCAAATATCATTTATTATTGTAGGTAGCTATATGTTCAAATCCCAAAAAGCGGATACTTATTATTATTAGCACAATAAAACAATAACATTTGACAGTGAAATCAGAGAGCTTCAATTAAGTTAAGTTTTTTTTTTGTTTTTTTTTTTTTTTTTTTTTGGGGGGGAAGAAAAAGGGGGGGGGGTGGGGGGGGGGGGGGGGCCGGGGGGGGGGATGTTTTACATTTTCCAATAAACACTTTATCACCGCGATCCAAAACCATAAACCAAGCGCCATCTAGTGGCTGTAGTTACAACTAAATTCACTATAAACTATAAATACCGGCCACCATGGACGAAGTCCATTAAAAAAAATGAATACAGAAAAATAATAACTAAACTTAACAAACTAATATATAAACTATGATATTTAACAAAATACAAGTAGCTTCACTGTTTATTCTTTGGTTGGCAGAACAATCAATTTAGAAACCGGTCTTTTAATGTAATTATTTTTATATTTTAGAGTGACTACTCTTGTAAGATTATCTAAACCAGGATGTTTCTTTTCTACAATACCAAAAAGCCACTTTGCAGGTGGCAGATCGTCTTCTTTCACCAAGACAACGCTACCAACTTCTGGCTCCGGTGTTTGTTGGCACCATTTAAATCTTTGTTGTAAATGGTGAAGATATTCATCTGACCATCTACGCCAAAAATCTTGTAAAATTCTTTGAGTTAAATGCCAACGCTTCAGACTGTCAATTTTAACCTCTTCATAGTTCGCATCCGGTACCAGAACTAATGGTTCACCAACTAAAAAGTGACCAGGTGTCAAAGCCGCAGGATGTATTGGAGAGTGTCAGAATTGGTCTTGAATTGAGACATGCTTCAATCTGAGCCAGGACTGTTGTAAGTTCCTCAAACGTTAAATGCCTGTCTCCAATTACTCTTTTCAGGTGATACTTTGTTGACTTTACTCCCGCTTCCCACAAGCCACCAAAATTTGGAGAATGGGGCGGGATGAAATGCCATGCTGTGCCATTCGATGACAACCAATTAGCTAACTCAGTTGCAACATGAGTACTTTCCAAGTGAGGCAGCATTTTAAGTTCGCATGCACTACCGACAAAGGTCGTTCCATTATTGCTCTACAACTCCACAACGTGGCCTCTACGAGCAACAAAACGTTTGAAGGCCGCTAAAAAGCTTTCAGAAGTCATATCACTGACAACTCCTAAATGAATAGCACGGGTAGCCATGCAGACAAATAGAGAAATATATATAACTTTTCATGGATTTATGACCACGCCCTTTAGTTGTGCGCACATTTATTGGACCAGCATAATCTACTCCACTCTTAAGAAAGGCACGTTGAGGAGTTACTCTTGCAGTCGGTAGCCGTCCCATCATTTGTTGGTTCACTTCCGCTTTATATCGTATACAAGTTACACACTTTCTCGTTACTTTTCTAATAGCATTTTTAGCTCCGATGATCCAGTACTTGGTTCTCAAATAATTAAGTATTAGTTGAGGGCCACCGTGAAAAGTTTTCTCATGAGCATCTCTAATCAGAAGATCAGTAAGATGAGTGCCACAAGGAATTATTATTGGATGCTTGGTTTCTTCGGGTAAATAAGAATTTTGCAGTCTTCCTCCAACTCTCAAGAAATTATTCTGGTCCAAAAATGGACTCAACGAGCTAAGTTTACTTTTTTTATTTACTGGTTTATTGTTTTGTAAAGTTAATATGTCAACTTTAAAAACTTCTTCTTGACATAACTTTATACATGTGTTAAGAGTATCATTAATTTCTTTTACTGTTAAATAATTATTAATTCTTTTTTCTTTTTCAGATATTTTCCAGCTCAACACACGGCGGCAGTACGAAAGGACTCTAGTAAGTTTTTTAAGAGATGAAAATCTGGTAATGATTTCATTTTCTTTTTCATTTGCAGTGACATGACTACTAATTATTTCCTTTTTTTCTTTCAGGTTTTCTTTTTTCCAGTTTGGAGTTCTTTCTTCAAGGTTTGTATCTTTTTCTATCGTTTGATCATAATCTATATCCCTTTTACACAGTACAGCCAATCAGGACCTTGATTCCAGAGAGTGAATTGGATAAATTCTGTTCCTGACATACCTCTGGAAGCACAGTCAGCTGGATTTTCTTTAGAAACAACGTGGGACCATTGATCTGCATCAGTAAGTGAAAGTATTTCAGATACTCTATTCGCAACAAAGGTCTTCCATCGACTTGGATGACTTCTTAACCAAGCCAAGACAATTGAGGAATCTGTCCATGCATGCAAATTCTCTTTTGGAATTTTAAGTACTGCAGCTACCTCATCTAAAAGTCTTGCTAATAAAAGAGCGCCATATAGCTCGAGTCGTGGCACAGATATTTGCTTTATTGGCGCTACTCGAGTTCTAGAGGTAAGTAATGCAACATTTACGTTTTCTTTAGCATCTACAATGCGTGCATAGATAACTGTGGCAAACGCAGCGTTCGAAACATCAGAAAATCCGTGTAATTCAAAATTGATGTCATTTGGACTTAATCAAGTTATCCAACGAGAGCCGACTTCTAAATCCTTTCTGAAGTCCAATCAATTTTGTAACAAAAGTTTGGGCAACTCTGAGTCCCATTGAATGCCAGAAAGCCATAACTGTTGGATAAATATTTTTGCCTTAGTAAAAACAGGCGCTAGCCAGCCAACAGGATCAAATAAATGAGCGATCTCGGCAATGATCTTGCGCTTTGTTATTTTTGTTTCAGGAATATTAAGTTTAACTATACACTGAAAACTACTTCTTCGCGATTCCAGGTAAGTCCAAGTATTCTAATGACTTCGTCATTTTTTATTTCAATAGCTTTCAGAGAATCATCACTGTTTACTTTTATTTCTCGAAGCAGTTCTTTACTATTACTAAAAACTTTCTGAAGTGGAAATCCTCCTCTACCAAGTAATTCAGTGATTTCCTTGTAAATTTGAACACCTTCAGCAACTGAATGACAACCGGACATGAGATCATCCATATAAAAATCATTCAAGACTCTTTCAGATGCCCATGGAAAGGATTTACCTTCCTTGTGAACTAATTCATGCAAAGCACGTACAGCCAAAAATGGAGCACAGGACGTTCCAAACGTAAGTCGTAAAAGACGAAAGTGCCGTAAAATATCACTTGGATCTTCACGCCATAATATGCGTTGATACTCTGTGTCGCCTTCGGTCACCTTCACTTGTCGGTACATTTTAACAATATCACCGACGAGAGCAATTTCATAACAACGCCACCGCATGACTAAGTGGCGTAACTCTGGCTGTAACGTTGGACCTATCATCAAATCATCATTTAAGGACACTCCATTCAGACCCTTACAAGAAGCGTCAAATACCATGCCCAGTTTTGATGTTTCTTTATCCTGCCTATAAACTGCGTGATGTGGAAGATATACAGCATCAGGCCTATTAATTTCTAGTGAACTGATTTCCTCCATGTGTCCTAAGCTAAGGTATTCGTTGATAACTTTAGAATACTCAACTTTTAACTTAGGATTCCTCGTTAAGCGTTTTTCTAACAGAAAAAATCACTTGTGAGCTATTTCTTTAGATGAACCAAATTTACATGATGGAGTATCAGATTTAAATGGTAGCTTTACAATAAATCTACCAAATTGATCACGAGAAGTTGTTTCCTTAAACAACTTGTCGCGTCTTTCTTCTTCCTCTGTATAAAATAGAAATTAGAGGGCCAACAACACAACAGTTGTTTCACCGACCGTGCCACGCAGGTAATCGGCCGTCTACAAAGTTGAGCCCCTACCTCACGAAGATGTTTTCGAGACGTCTCAATGCCTATACCGTGCCTCCACAAGATAGCACTTTAATGTTTTTTATTTCCGTTCTAATATCAGATATTTTGCTACTTATCAAGGTCATATTTTCACATTGCATTTTACCAAAATCTTCGAATAATTTCATAATATCTGTCTTGAAGTCGCTAAAATCTTGCTTATAGTCATATTCTTCTGTTCGATCTTTTCTCTTCCTTATGTTTACATTATAACGTAATTCATCATTTTTATAAGTGCACAAATTGGGCACTGATCCACCAGTACTTTCGCTGCAAGTAATTGAGTTTCCACGAGGGGGAGTTCTCTGTACACTCATCTTTATATCTTACTCGGCTTTTCCCAAATATTTCTAAGTGTTAAAACAAGAGTATAAATAGTTGTTGGTGGCAAGCAGTGAACATCAACCATGAAACAATCTGTGTTAGTAATACGAGCAATGCACATCAACTTCGTACTAATCTGTATAATAGGCCCAGCAATGAACATCAACTGCACTGTAGTCTGTGCAATATTCCACGCAATGTACGTCAATCACTGCTTATTCTGTCATTGATCACTGCACTAAGTAAACAACTTGAGGTCAATGCTAAGTGAACGTGAGTCTTATAGTGTGACCGATAAGGTACTTACTTGCTTGCACTCAATATTATAATTTTTGTAACTTCCGTATATACCTCTTTCTATGTCAGACTAAAAACACTTTTGAAAATTTATCTTGATTTCCTTATTAATTTACTGGCACAAGCCCCCCACGATTATTGCTTGCTGATTAGCGAAACGTTCAGCTGTCCTTGCACTGTGTCATCCACTATTGTTTACACTTGCTTGGTTCCCATTTAATTACATCTTTGTTAACCACCGCCATTGTTATAAGATCAATATACAAAATCAAAATTCTTGCACTTAGTAACGTTTATCACTTCAACTGAATGTAATAGCAATTCAGTGTTAGCTATAGGATAGACGAGTTATATTAAAAAAAAATAGATATACAGTCCCTAGATTATATGTTTATTTTATATTGTAAGCATTATTTGTTAAACAATGTATGACGTGAGAATATATAGTGTTTCTGGTTATACATATGGAGGGAGTATGTTTTAAAGTGTAAGAATGTGTTAACAAGGTGTTCCTTGTAGCACTTTGTAGATAAATGTAAAAGAAACATACTTTATGTTCTGCAATACAGATTTACGGTTTTCTTTTACATGGTTTAGAAACAGAGGGGAATAAGATATTTGGGAAACGGGTGGTCAAATATGTTCCCAGGACTCCCTCGAAAACACCGTAGCGGGTTGGTGGTGCTTCTAGTGGTTCAGGTCGAATCTCGCCTCCGGAAGGGTTTGTACTACCAACTCGAATGTGTGTGTAGTGCCTATATTTAATATTGTCTATATTTTGGTAATGTCATGATTTAATGATAAATAACTAATACAACACTTTTGGCGGTTTAAAATACGAAGTATATCAGATTTTTAAAATAAAATGTATTTCTTACGTAAACTTTCGACAGTACTTGATAAATCATTTAAATAAGACTTTCGGTATTATTTATTGATAATCAGAAATTGAGAGTTGACTAAGCTGACATATTGGCGACGGTAGCAGCAGTACGGAACAGCGTAGGTTCGAGTGCTGATTCGATGATAATGCACTTGTTCCAACTACCTTCAGAACTTATTATCCGTAAAGTTAAATTACTTTACTTCGATTGCAATGTAATTTTTAAGGGTTTCTTCGATATAAAAATGTATACTAGAAATGTATGGAGAAGGACCGCCTCTGTAGCCAAATGGTTAAATGTCTTGCGTTAAGCGCGAGAGGTCCTGAGTTCGAATCCCAGGGAAGCATGAAATTCGGTCAGTCAGGGCACAGAAGTGTGATCAACTACTTGCCCGTTAAAAGAGCGGATCGGTGAAACGGACACAGAAAGAAGTGTCAGTTGTACTCAAATACTTAAACGTCGTGGTTTTTCTAAACACTAGCACGAAATGATATGATAAGAGTGTAATTCATATACTCGCTACGTTAATCTTAAAAACCTGAAAATAGATCATTAGGCTACGACAGTAGGTAAATGTCTTCGAATGGAAGATGAGAAGGGTGAAATAAAAAAATCAGTTCGAAATTTATAGTTTATATTAGATTTATAATAAGATATGTAGTCTACAAAATTTCACAAATTTTCACAACGTTATTTGAACCTAAAGCGTCTACCATTTTAATATGAAAATAAAATTATCGAAATAACTGGATCTACGGTGGGGGCTGATTTTACGTAACCTTTATTTTTTAAAATATAATCTAATAGGCAGTTTTTAATCCTCGCGTATCATTACATGAGTAAGTCAAAAACTAATAACGGTAAAAAAATAAAAAAATATTAATCCATAAAAACAGCCCCCCGTCAAACGAAATAACAATATCGTCCCATACAAATACAATAATATTTATTATATCGTTATATTTAACTAGAGTTATACAGAATAATGATTCCTATGAAATATAATTATGCATTTATTAAATTTATTCAATATAATAATAATAATACTTAATAAGTATCAATAGGTAATGGTTAGTCAATGTCGTGCTACAAACTACTATATTTTATAATAATTAATAATAATCATGAATGAGTCGTATTATTTCTTTATTATTTATTACTTTAAATTTATTAGTCGATATTAACCACTAAACGAGCACACGGCAGCCTCGGTCCGCGCTAGCGTTGCGCGGGCGCACATAATCACAAAAAAACATCTTCAACACATAAAATAATAATCAATAATAATAATCGTACAGATAAAAATCATTCATAAAAACATTACAATAAAAATCTAAACATTAAAACACACTTAAAACAAACATTATATTAATATTATCATAATCATAGTGTGTACGTATGTATTCACCATCATTTAAGCGAATAATCGTATAGTCAAAATAATGAGCATGGGTCGCGGGGGAGCGGTGCGGGCGGCGCGGTGCCCCGAAGCGGGGTCTGCTCGCCCGTAGCGGGCTCGGCGCGTCCAAAGCTGGCTGCCGCACGTCGCGGGCGACCATTACACTACCCTTACTCTAGCTACCGACACAACAAAACGCCCTGCACTCATTACCTATCAACAACACATTGGCTAAGGCCGCTCCGCGCGGTCGCTCCCCGCGCCGCCCGTCCCTCGCTTTAATAATTATTATATTACGATATCTTAATATTTTACGCTACTACGTTAGGTAAGCTTTATAAATTTTCGATTTCTCATTTATGCTATCAATAATAATCATTATACAACTTTTTTTAAATTTTATGCATTTTTTTTTCGAAATTCTATCGTAACGTACCTCGACTCTCTCTGCGACGGCGAGCGCGGCGGTCACTCGTCGTCATAATAAAAAACGTTCATAATAAGAAAATATATCGTGAGTAACTCTGCCGACTTACGATAGGTTCGGCGCGGCGGACGGGCCGTGCCGGCGAGGCGCCGACTTTTGGCACCAGGATTTCGATTACGCGATTTTTTTTATTATTTTCGTAACGATTTAAGTAAAAAAATCGAGCCCCGCGGTGAGGGGAAAGCGGCGAGCCGCCTGTATTTATGAGAGTATACGAATAGCTTGATGCGCCGGCGCAGCGCAGGCGGGGCAAGGCGCGGCAGATGCGGCGAGTCGCTGCGCGCACTCCAGGCAGAACAGGTTATGTCCGCACGGAACCAGCGCCGCTGCTACGCCACGCTCGGCGCACACGGCGCACGTGCGCGCCGGTGAAGCGGCCGGCGAAGGTCGAGGTGGGCCCCACGCCCACACGCTGCCTGCGCTGGGTGACTCGAACGACGGCGACTCGCCCAATCCCTCATCACGCTCCGTCGAAGACCAGATTCCGAGTAGATCCCCGAGTCTTCCCGACGAACCGCCGGAGGAGCACGAGCCCGCCGACGAAAATGCCGCCTCCTGTTCTGGGCGCAGCAGCGACGCTAACCCGGCGCGGTATAACTGCGCTAGGGGTTCGCCCTCGCTTCCGGGGGCCCCTGTTCCAGTCGCCGCACCGCCTGCGGCTCCAGTGCGGAGAGCGATGTGTGCTTCTATCTCTTTGCGCGCTGCCTCGACGCTTTCGGGAAGACCGGTCACTTCGAATACGGGCTCGCGCTCTCGCGAGGGTGTCACGATGTAAGTGTGGGTGGTGTGCTGGATGCGTTTGATGGTGGCTCCCTTAGGTCCCACTACGAGCCCAACGACGCGGTAAGGCACGCGCACCTGTGCGGTGACATGTCCCGGGGCGCCCGCTGGCGGGGGAGGGGCTGCGCCGCACTTGCGAGACGCGCGTATCTGTGAGAAGTGCTCGGCGGCGGAGAGGATCTCGCGTTTGGCTCTCGCAACGTCTTCTTTGCGGCCCGTGACCACGAACACGGGTTCCTCACCGCGCACCGGTGTCTTGATGTATGTATTTGTTTTTGCGCGCAGAGCCTTTATTTTGCATCCTGCAACAAGGGAAAACATATGGTTACATTTAAGATAATATCATATACAAAATTGGAGATAATCGAAAGAAGCAAATGTTGACTCTATTAATAGTATTTATTTAAGACTTGACTTGAGCTGATATGATATTCAAAAATGTCTTAAAACCATGCGACAACTTGAAGCTCTTTCCAAACTCGAATGATAATATTTTCTAGCTTTAACTCAATAATTTCGCGCTCTTAAAGACCCATTTACACTTATGTGTACCATATTTTATTGACTCTGTAAGCGCTGTGATTTGTGGTATCTTAAAGTATTGTGAAAAGAGCCTTAAAGCCCTAACCATCGTAAAACCTCGCGACGCCAGAAACAACAATGTACCCTACATTAAACCTTTCCACCACAAACTGACGGACATAATACAAGAACAATATTACTACTTGTAGAAGACGCTGAAAATTTCAGAGGTCTGAGGCACCGTTATGTTGCATCCCTTATTAACACACTAGTTGATATATATTTATCCCTCTCGCGACCCCAATGCGGCAAAAACAACGTGGCGTGAGCTCAAAACTCGGATACGAGGGACGACGATGTCGGTCACAATCGATATAAATTGTTTTCTTAAGATCTTTTCTGCCGTTGAACTCTAAATGTTTATTTCTCTTACAAAGAGGACCTAATTATTTAATATAAGATATGATAATCACGTTAAGGACGATTATTAAAAGTATAAGATAAAGTAAGTTAGTGGCATCACTATATTTATTGCTAGCATAACCTGCGCAGAAGTGTTTGAAAGATGTATATATAAAGGTACTTAAAAGAAATAGCTATGTACTGAACATATTAATTTATCATTACCGTACCTATCAACGTAAATAAGTATAAGTAAGGTCAAAATTTAAAATTTGAAGTTAACATAATTACACATAAGAGAGTTGCGTTATGGAAAAAACGAGAGATTTTAGCCGCACGATACAGTCCGTTGGCATTGCGCCAGTGATATCGTACTGACAAATTAACGAAACTAAATTTAGGACTAGAGCTTATATGTGTAGCCTTATTGATATCGTTTTAATTCTGAGCTACTGAAATTAAAATGTCTCTAACGCCACATTACTGAGATGTTTCTTTTACGGCTCTCTTGCTAAATTGACTAAGATTACGTTCTAAAAAACTTAGGTTGGAATACAGGCACGACTGGATGCTTCGGCGTGCTCCTACTAGACATTAATCAATAGAGGCTCTCAAAAAATACAAAACAATCACTAAAGAATTTACTCGTCATGCTTTAAAATAATTATTAATATGTAGAACTTTCGAAATAAAAAATATTATAACTAAGGCCGAGCATTAAATATACAAAGCCTCCATGTTTATTTATTCAAACGTCCGAGATTACTGTGAACCTACACGATAACTAGAGTTATATAGCATGTTGAGTTTGATGAACGAAATATGCAGTGTAGATATTTATTTATTTTTCGTTAAAAAAATGTGATTCCTTTAATAATATTGAAATTAACCCAATTGGCGTTTGTTCTCCCCTGGTTCCTATGACTGGTTGATTGCGGTCAATAATATTTACTAAAAACTTACGCAATTACTTCAGAAATGTTTCTCAAGTCGACCATTTCATTTATATAGCTTTTCATACTGTTTAAAAGATAGATGTGAAAATAAGGAGTTAATAATAATTATTTAAATCATATTATTTATCTAGAAAGAATATAGGACACATTTAAGTGTGTTCCTATAACAAAGTTCTATTAAAACCTCAGTCTCGACTCACCTACATTAGTCGCGTTCGTAGAGCGTAGCGGGCACTGCACTACGCCGTAGCAACCGGGTCACGCTTGCTACGTCGCGAGGTATTTATAACGGCCTACGCTATGTTACAGCTTTTGTAGAAAAACCTACATTTTCGTGAAATGTTATAAAAGGAAAATTTTGGAGATAAATTTTCGCGTCTTTGAGATAAATTTAGTTTTACATTTTCGGCATTGATTGTCTATGAACATAGCATTTAGAATTTCAGTTAAGTTGGAATTATTGAGCCAGAAATGTAATTCGAGGTAGTTCGTATATTGAGTTTTGAATATAATAATTTACAAAGTTAAAATTTATTCATAAAGATTAAATAATTATTGATTTTACATTGTACCTTATATGTTTTGTATAAAATACGACATATTTTAATTTAAAAAAAAATAATGACAAGGGCGGGACCAAGTCACGGCGACATTACTCCATGATTTTGCCCTTACCAACAGATTTACCGTGCTATATAAATTTTAAAAAATTAATTTGAATAAAATAAAAAGTGCCTGAATTTTGTATTACACTGCGACATATTTCACATTTTCTGCTACGGATTTTTCCATATTCAATTCATACATGGGTATGTTTTAATTTCGGTTAACATTCGATAGCAATTCCACGATGTTACTAATTAAATGTAGTGCTCTTAAATGTTAAAATTTCGCCTTTTGAGAATTAATAATGTTAATTGGAGTAATTTAATATACAGCATGCATATTTACGAAATTTATTTTATTCGCTTGACGTTATTCGGACAACTTTTCGGGTTGATTTCATCTTGTAAAATAAACTAATTAGAGCTTTTACCCATCTATGAGTGCTTGTAACATTGGAATCTAATTTAAAAACTTGTTTAATTCTCGATACAGATAACAGATGGCGTTATTAGCGCTATTTCTTGCTCTCAAGTGGCTTGATACTAAAAATCTCAAGGCATCTTAACATACAATTTTAATATACACAAAGTTATTATTAACTTTCTCTAATGAGTTAAAGTTAAAATAGTATTTTATTAAATGTTAAGTGTAATTGTAATTTTAACCATTATTTGCTTTCGACGAGTGAAGAAAGCATGCCTTTGCTACACTTGAAGCGAAATTCAATATAAGCGGGGTCCCCGAATTGGGACTCGTCCTGAATAATAAAAAACAAAGCCTTCACTTTACCTCCCTCTCGCACAGTACGTCCCTTTCTAAAATTTTACACCGGGAAGTTGAGTACAGTACTTTGAAATATACGAACAATATTTATTCGCAACTTTATATGAGTTTTTTTTTTAAGAAATTTACGAAATATATAGATATATAAATTATGAAACCCTTTTATTGTATATATAAATATTTTAAAACAATGTTATTAGAAGCGTATTTTATAAAAATTCAAAAGATGGTAGCATATCGGGAACAAGCAAAAATACACGAGGGCTGATTTAATCGATAGTCCGAAAGAACACCCACATCTTGTGAACACTTGTCATTTCCATCTTTAGGACTACGGATATAATATATTTATGTAGTCATTAAATAAATATGCTTAATAAGAGCATCTAAGTAATAAAAAACACTTATTCCCTATAACTCTTAACTGTTTCTTGTAAAAAAAACGTTTTTATTCATGACATCAAAAATATATGTAATCTTAATAAATATTTCTCAAAATAAAAGGAGTATTTTTTATATGACAATGTTCTTGCTCGTAATTACAATTATTATAGACTTAATTCATCATGTCTAGATGTGAACGCCAAAAACTTTCGTATGTTTTAAAACTACCTGAGAATTGTAGATGGGGGCTACAACATGCTATAAACGAACTTAAGGTACAGAAATCACAAGAGGTTGCCATAACAACCGCTGCCTACAATTGGAACATTACTTCCCCTCGCTTGTTTCCCGCGTACCTACAGCTGTTACAGTACACAAAGTTAATATGGATTATCCAGGGCTTCATAGAAAAATTCGTCTTTGTATTTTTAAGGCAAGATTGGTTTGCTGAATGTTAAATTTAGAGGTAAACATAACGTATATAAGAATAATAGAACTTTTTTCAGATGTAAAAGAAAAAGGTCTTTTTTTGTAAAAAATTAATATAAGAATATTATTTTATTTGGCCAATATTCGTATTAGGTATTTTGATAACTTAGCAAGTTTTTAAAGAAGTATAGAGTTAAATTATCTAATCCTTATAGTTTTCATTTATCTATTATAAACGAACACCTTTTTTTGATAATATATTAAGTATCTTCATGTTCCAGAACCAAAGCAGAACATACCATATATGGGACTTTACCTTTGACCTAATTTTTTACCCCTTAATACTTATATTTTACGTAAAAACGCAAAGCATATGAAATGTCGCATGCGGTGTTTCCCGGCTTTCGAGGGGTTGCCGGGGGTGCTGCGCGGGGTGTGGGGGTGCGGCGCCGCAGGGGCGTCAGGCAGCGGTCGATACCGGTCAATGACCCCGGCCGGTGCATTGGCAACCCCTGCCACGAGTTTAACCCACATTCTACGATACCACGTTGCCACGTTAATTACGCACATGGATTTACTACAAGCGTAATTATACTTGAAAATACTTCGAACAATATCCAAAGTAATCAATGATAAAGATTTTTTTTAATTATTATTACTACAACAATGTATTTTTTATTTATGTATATTAATATCTAGCAATCCTAGTACAGACAGAGTAGTATTTTCAAATATATTCAGTTATATGGGAAAATACTACTTCAGTCTGCGTATATTATGTATAAAATTCACAAGATGAAATCTTCGTGAACTTTTAACAGAATCTATTGACCGAGGGGATTAATTTTATGAGAAAACCGCAAATCATCGTATTTTGTAGAAGTGAAATTGAGATCACCCGCGCAAATTTTTGCTTAAGCACTTTTCCGCGGCCATTGCACTCCGCTTATATAATACTAGGGGTTCAGAGGTAAGCGGGAGGTTTACGCACGGCATAGTACAAGGGAAAATCTACTTTACGGTGACGCGCTAGGCTTTATATTGTTTTAATTCTAAGACGAGTTCCTTGTGTTGTGATTAATAGTGTTAAAGGCAGCTGGGGTTGATTGTACTGAAATAGGCTCTGCATATTTGTAATGTGTATGTATATGTTATAACTAGGCACTATAAGTTACAGTGATTTTATCTATATATAACTAGAATTTAATTAAGAATATATAACAAAAAAAAAACGATTTTCAACATGGCTTCTGCGCCATATGTGATCAATATGGAATTTTGAATTTGGAACAGTAATTTAAAGACAAGAATCTTAATAATGAAAAAGCGCTTTTGCACTAACGGTACTAAGTTCAAAATGGAATAAAGCTCTGAGGCAGATTTAGTTTAGTAGTAGACTTGTGGTATTTTAATATAGTTCTTATTGCTAGATGCAATAAACTCCAATTTAGCGTGATTATAATATTTTATGGATCATGGGTTTCAAGATACATGTGAGCGAGACGGAGAACAAAATGGTTTCTCATTTTTGTGAGGAAGTGAAATAGATATTTGTAGAGCCTCAAGTACGTATGTATAAGTAATCCTGAAAAGTATTTTATGGGATAATTCTTCAAATAAGTGTCTGAAATTTGAACATAAGAAAGCTTACTTAAAACCTATAACGATCTTGTGCTGTTTTGTACCCAGGCCATGAAATAAACGAAACGGCCATACTTCTTACGCAAGCTTGTATTTTAGCAGGCTGTTTCGCAATAACCTTAATATATCGGATATTGGTCGTTATAAGGTTAAGGCTAGACTGTACATTATTTTATCATCTTAAAATACAAGTTTTAAGCTGCAGACTACGAGATATTAGGTTCGAATTTCGGATGAAAAAAAAATATGTAGGTGTCATCGTCGGTCTCCATTGACATCTGTAATTTAGAGATTCGTAAGGCTGCCATCCCGCACAGGCGCATCGTGACACGTCTGAGCTCGTAAATCTGTCCTAAAGGAGTCACCTATGCCTAGTGTGGAACATTTTATTTTGGATCCACTCCATGTAGTATCTTAATTTCTGTGCGGTATATAATAAAAATAAAACTATTAACACACAATATTACGGACTTCCTGGGGGCTCCTCAAAAAATAATATATGGGGGGGGGAAAAAAAAAAAACCTTTCGGGGGGCAAAAACCCCCCCCCGCCACACGAAAACGAGCGTTCTAGGGGTTTCCCATCCACGTGAATCTCATGCGTGTCTGACTTCCTCTATTATAAAAATATATATATATACTTCCTTATACGTTCATGCCACATTTAAAAACCTTGTAATGTAGGTTTTATTAGAATAATTATTTGAAGGCAGTTGAAATGTCTAATGTCAATAAACATAACAAGGTTTCGTTGACATTAATCTAGTGGTGTATAGATTAGAATAGAAATTAAGCAAATCAATATAAAGATGTAAGCAATCTACAACTACACGACTACGTCATTATAATAGCTTAGATATTTTCACGTTTCAACTTGACGTATGACATAAATCTGATAAGATCATAACAAAACTAGTTATTTGAGGATATGTATGATAAACACGTACTGAAATGACCTAAAATATAGAACCGGATTGGGTACTAAATAATACTTAAAATATGTTGTTTAAGTTTAGTTCTTCGTTCTTGAAGAAACCAAAAAAAAAAAATCTTGTCTATAGTTAAGCGAGTAGTACACATTTAAATAAAACGTTTTAAACCTTAAAGTTTTATTAAAAAACATCTTACGTGGGAAGCAACTCTATCTACTGGGTTCCTAGATTTTGTATTATAATTTTATGCATTACTTATACTTCACCGGAACTCAAACCCAGAATCTCCTACACTTAAAGTAATAACGCTAAGCATTCTTTTACTTTCTTACCCGGTCTCGAATCCAAGATAAAGTGATATAACAACGCCTAGTGACCACTAGATTGCTTCAATCTTTTTAATTATGTACCAGCGAGAGCACTTGATCCCGGCTAATTTAACCTCGATTAATAATTTCCTAATCCTCAAACTTCAGCTCTTATACCTACAACATAGTGGGACCCGACTTGCCTACATGAGGCGAAGAGGTGTTATATACAGTATTTTCACACACTAACTACTAGTTCCTACCTACATGTGTGTGATTCAGACTAACTAATTCAGGACATAAAACTGTCTTTTATATATGTCGTAATATTATGTATGTCGTAATATTTCACCGGTAGATATTAAAACACTGCCTAGCGTTAAGCGCACGAGTGTCCAGGTTCGAATCCCATTGTATTTAGTATTAAGGGAAAGATATCCATTCTAGATGAAACAATATTACAAAAGAAGTTATTTTTAAATTTATTCATATCTAATAATAGCATTATGCCATAATGCCTACATTAAAACGATAATTAATAGTACAGCTGTAATACGAAAATTGGTAGCCGATATGAATGCTCAAGATGGGTCATTGTACTTCTTCAACGCGGTGTAGGTGTGAAATGTACGCAATCGAAAATTATTATTAGTGACAAGTGAAAATGCACTGTAAATACTGTACGTAGTGGTTAAATTGCTGTAAACAATTTTCGTAAACACATGGTCAGTGTGACGTAGGTCGGGGTGTAACCTGCATTGAACTGTCCAATATTTCGTCTAAGCCGATTTGCGGTACCGATCGTATGGAATTATCGAGATTTGTATACACTATTACAAATAGATTACTTAGGTATCCGTATCAAAATTGGTTGAGGAATTTTGCGAGTGCGAGAGAACCATCACACGTAATCTCAGTTAATATGATAATTGAGACACAAAATAACCAGTATTATTAGTACCTTATGAAATAACATTTGGAACAAATAAATCGACATTTAAATTTATTGCCTTTGATGATAAAAATGTTAATTACAAGGTCGAAACCAGCGGCCGAAAGTCACCGACATTTCGATGACATAGACTTGCAAAAACTATTTTTAAATATTACAAACATTAAAACTGTTAGCAGCAATTTACTCTCTTATTAGAAGTTCATTAGGAACACTAAATTACAGTTATATATTTTGAGAATTGGTAGTAAATGTAAAGTTAGATTCTTTAATTTTGTGACGTTCATAAGTGTACATAGACCTACATGGATAAATTATTTTTGACTTTGACTGGACATTTCAAAGACTGATGAATGAAAGTTAGTACGATTCTACAAGTTCTAGACTAAATAGTAAATACAATCCGAAACAGGGTGGAATAATAACGATCGCCGCTTATCATTCACAACCATGATGAACTTGGTAATGATTTTAACTTGATCTTCAAACATTATTATTAATGCTTATGAATTAACTTAACTTTGGAATAGATAATCCATCTACTTTTAAAAATGTGTAAAATAAAAACAAACGTTAATAATTATCTTTACGAGGTGTACAGTGGGTGAACGCACCATCGTGGCCCGATTGGCTCGCAGCCAAGTCCCACGGTAAACGCTACTAATCAGTCCAGCGCCTGTTAGCTGTTAAGACTCCTGACGGCTCATAATCGCCTGGTACCATTAAAACAATTGCACGTTAAAGTTACGTCTCCTCAGTGGTGTCTAGGAGATTCAAATTTGTGTTACTTTTTTTTGTCAAAGATGTCGTCAAGTGACGCTTTCCTCTGCATATTCATACTTTTATTTATTACTTAAAATCATTGTCAACGCGTCTTAGATTGATAGACTAGTTTCCGCGTCAATACGTAAGGTATACTTTACTTGCGTCATTTTTGTCATGGCTCTGTTTTTACGACACATGATATCAATTTGTCTTATTTCAAAAGGCTTCCTATGTATTGGAGATCTTTCAAACTTAGGATTACTTTATTGCAAACTTACTAAACCGTATAGGTACTAAGTAGTATCTTGTCAGACAAGTTACACTTCTAGTCTAGAATTTATATTTACTAGGTTATCATGAAAAACACCAGGATATGTAAAGTTTGCAAAATTTTTATCATTCACCAGGATAACATCAATAGAACCATAATGGCAATAGCGAGATTGTCTTAGCCTTGAAGTTCGACAATGACCCTGACTGCGTACGTTATGCCTAGTTCAAGTTGATATTACAACACAAGTAACTACATTATATTTAAAACGTTATCCCCTCGCGAAATAGTTCTAGTACGAGACGCATTTGTGATTTACCAATTGGACTTTACAATGTTACAAATCATTATGAGGAAAATAGTGTTTGATAAGACGACCGCTATACAATAAAAATCCACTATTAATATTAAATTAACCTTCGAATGCATAACCTCAGCATCGTAACATTGAATCTAAAATAATATTATTGTATAAATAATTGCAAAAACCATTCGGATTTTTACTGTCTGTATATTGGAATTGACATTAGGCATACCGTCCATCTTTTACTCACCCGTAACCACGATTGCTACAAAAGGTCGGGTCAAAGCGACAAGAATGTATTTCGCGTTTTAAACCGTCAAAAGTACATTTATATTTTAAATGCAATGAGAGATGACACGGTG